AAATTAATGATAGCTCATACTAAATGTTAACAAAGTTAATCACAGGTTTGCATACGGTTTCATTCTTCTTTGAAGTCAGATCATTTAAACCAACGGCATTCTAATGATACCAGAAAAATATCTCAAACTAAATAATTAAGTTACTCCCCAGTTTTTTAGGTTCATGAATCCGTATTTTACTACTGACTAGAAAAATTGACGAATTAATAGAAATTGCGAATTTCGTGAAAAGCGATTTACTGTAGTCGTGATTTAAAAAATTGGAGTTTTTCAAAGGTTAAGAAACCGGCCATGTGTGAATGAGGAGTTTATGAATCCCTGAAAACTTCTAGTTAGCAACCGTTGAACCTAAAACTGATTGTTTCAGAGTATTTATTATTAAATGAGCCTGACTGACAGTCACTGTGTGGCGCAATCATTAAATCATCTGGTGTGCAGCTTTAAAATAAAATTTAAATTAAATTAAGACGAAAGGCAATGTTTTATATTTTTCAGTAACATAAATGATCAACTGTCATAAAATAAAATGAGACTTGATCTAAAAATTGGTTGGAACCGCATTTTGGGGCAATTACGTTCACCGGACTAGTTAGTCACAATGGAAGAAAGTAGGAACCTGATCAGTCAAACATCAGAAAACAAACGTTCTGGCGGTCATTGCATGGTATCAACACAACCAGGCAACAAATGACCTGAATGCAAATAAACGTTTCACGGTTATCGTTTCCACTGCTACGTTCAAGTCTGCTCAGTACCGAAAACGGGAAAATCACCGCTGAAGAACTTCTTTCATCGTCTAATGTATTCCCTGATTTTAAAATTAACCGGTGTATTCCAAATACGTACTGAATACAAAGTTGATGTATTGGGGTCTTAGGGAGCAAAATGAACTGAATAGTTCATACAGAATAATTTGTGAAAAAACCAAGGAGAATGTTGTTGATTTATTTTAATACAGTCATTTATCCTTTCTGCTGCTTGTCCCATTGCATTACAATTCTTAGCAAGGAGTCAAACTCCAACTTTTATAAGATTAGTCATTTAAATAGTGGATCAATTGCGTTGTATTGACAATGAAAATTGACTTATCAAAAAAACATAGTCTTTGAGCTTCAGAGAGTTGACTTATTTTAAATCTCTATTATTGTTGGCATTTTTCGTTAATTTCTGATCAATAATTTATCATCTTCAGTGGATAACAGGACTTATTTCTACAATGTTTATACAGAATAACAAAAATGAGCAACAAATATTCCATAATTAGTGTGGCGTATGTTCAGAAAATGAAATATCAATTATACGCCTCATTTTGCATACAGAGAGCTTTTACATTTATCCAGTTCTGGTGCAAATGAAAATCGTCATACATCTTCCTGTTCATTGATGTAATAAACGCGTGTAATTCAAACTTAGATAACAATGACACCTGCTCATACACCTCTCCTTTGTGAGCAAGCGCTTGATTTATTCCATTAGAAACGTCCAATGATGCATGTCAGGAACACGACAAGGGGAGTTACATGAGTTTCGTTGTTCCTTATTTTTTTCTGCCAAGGTTTCAAGTTTTTTAAACCCTATTTTGCTTCCCGTGTTAAATCAAACTAAAAAATGCTCAATGTTTGAGCTTCTTTACATTCGTGACAAACAAAGCGTCACTTAGTGACCAGTGAAAAAATTAAAGGTTTAATAATTGGGTGCTTCTGAAATCTAAGACGTACTTTCATCGGGAAAAACTTGTTTGCGTTAACCATCAACGGTCAAAATCGCAAAGGAAAGCAGGTGGTTTTCCGATTCTTGCCTCAAAAAATAAACATAGCAGCCTGAAATGTATCCAAAAAACCAATCGTCTTCGCAACACTCGTTTGATCTAAACAATATAGAGTAAACAAGTTAAATATATTTTTTACGGTAACAAGCTTAGATTAGCCCATTCGGTTGAATCGTTCATTCAAATGGTTATTTCCTGATTACTTTCTCGACTCTTTTTTGTGTCTCACATGAAACGATTAGTTCCGATCAATCACCAAATTAAATGCTACTGTACTTGCTTTCAAACACAAGATTCCCATGTTTCAAATCGGTCCATTTGCATAAATTATGATCGATTCCTCCTCATTTTTCTCAAGATCTTTAAAGATACACTTTGGTTTCCATTTTGAATCCTATGTTCTTATTCTGCATCATACATGGAAAGTTTACCATGAACAGTTGCACTAACTTAAATCGTTTATTATATCATTTCAATGCGTGTAGGAAGAACCCTGAAATAAACTCATAAATGATGGTTTTACAGTGCTGATTCTTTACATATGCAACAACTGACCACTGTGGGTTATTCGGCTGGACAACGTCTATTTTTTGTTTGCGAAACACTATCTAAGCGGTTCTGCATAGTGCGGCGGGTAGTAGAATTTTTAACGGTCGTTTAACGAACTCAGTTGCTGATTGGTTCTGATTTCACTTTGATCTGATTGGATAATGCCGTTTAATGTTATACTAATGCACGAGGTATCTTTCGGGTCAATCTGAAGGTGACTGTAAGACACTCGGAGTTATTGCATACAAATGTTGAAAATCCTAAAACGTGGAATTCTGTAACGAATTTTCTTGCATATGCATCATTTTGGAAATTTATTTCTTCTAAAGCAAAGCATCCTTTTGGTGTATTTTCAATTATGTGAATGTTTACCAGTAAACAACACTTCACAGACTTCCATTAGAACCGCATCTCAACCATGGTTTCAAAATGTTAGTCCAATTGTTGGTCGTATTAAATGGTGTGTAAATGAGAAGCGTCAAGTATGGGAGCGTTCCGTGAATCTGGGGCCCGGGCAAGTGGAACTATCTTTGAAAAGGTCCGGAAAGTTTCGTTGCCCTGAAGAGAACCAAACCAGTGATATGACCTATTGCTGCGGTGAGCTCGGAGCGCAGTATTGCTGTAAACTTACGGACACGTGAGTTGCAATAACATTTCAATTCCATTTTGTCTCCCAACCGACCAACAGGAATTATTTCAGTAAAATAATCCAAAGTCCCTAAAACAATGAAACGTAGCATTCTGTAAAGTTTTTACTTAGCACAATTAAGATTCGAACAATTGGTTTTTCTGTTACCGGCTGTTTCATAAGTATTTCTATGTAAAAAATAGATATGAGGCGAAATTCTGAATTTAGATTTGACCTGGGGTTTTGGTTAAGTGGTCTGAGAGCTCTATAACTTTAGAAATTCAAATATTCACAAAATGGGTACATCAGTCTGAAAACAGCATTTGTTTAGTGAATGCATACATTTATGTCCCTGTTACCTATGACTTGTCAACGTGGTGCTTTCGTTTGCAACCAAGAAAAGAGCAAAAGCAGATTCAACATACACAAAATTAAAACACTAGATAGCTTCACAAGATGCTATTATTAAACGTGTTGTTGGGCGTAGTTTGCACAGCGGTGGTCGTATATTGATCAGTGACTGCAAGGGTTTTTAAGGCGAGATCTACAGTTGATATCAAGCATGATCTAACAGCCGAATAGAAAAAATGATCAAATCAGCCTGTGCATGGCTATTTCATGAGGGGCTTTGTGCATTCAACTTGAATTTCTCACCACAGTTTCAAACTACATACCAGCAAACCACCTTTTTATAAAAAGGTAACGCATATATCATTCTATTGGTATTAGGCCTTTTAGGATTATGAAGGAACCATTTTCCGATAAATGGAAAACAAGGAATCCGGGTACTAACGGTATGAGTAATCAGCGTCCCCAATCCATATAAATGAAACATTTTTTAAATTTGTCTAAAGAGAAAGATACTTTCCGACATTTTTTATGAAAATACTTGTTCCTCTTTGGGTGAATAAGATTCAAATGTTGATGAACTTCCTTTTTATGTTTTTGCTTAACACGGACCGAATACATGCAACGATTTGATCAACCAGCTGCTACACTTTGGAGACATTTTTCAAGCACAACAATTTATCAGTGATTTTATTTTCCCTTAAAGCTGCATTCACAATAATTAATGCTTTCAAACATTGAATTGATTTTACCATTTTTCATTGATTAATTGATTTCTACGTTACACCACAAGTGCAACGTGAATAGAACTTGTTACATATGGTATATACGCTGTATTTAGGCGCATTCCAGCCACTGAATATGTTTTTTAAGCTAAGAAATATGTACTTTTCTTGAGGTATTTTACCCTCAACACTCCCATTGAATGAGGGCAAATTTGGGAATAAACCGCAATGAGGTTCACCAAGTTTGTTTCGAATACCTCAATGTTTAAAAGAGATCATCAAGTTGCAGAATATAAGGATAACGACTTAAGAATTATCCACCTAAATTAATTTTGTACACAGTAAATGCATTCAATAGAAATAAAAATGTTTTGGTTGACAAAACAATGTCAAATAATAAAATATATATCCAATTTAGACGGAAAGGGTGTGGTTGAAATGTACCGACTTCAAGATAAAAGATTTGACCTCTTGATACCTGTTGATTGTAATTACTCGTAAAACTTGTTCAGAAACTCACTAGATTGTGAGAATACCTCCAAAATTGTTTTCGCTTCCCGGAGGCAGGTTATTTATGCAAAATAAAGGGGATGCTTTTGAATGCTGTGGAAATGTTTGTTTTGTTTGAAACCATATTTGGTAATGAAAAGTCATTCATCTAATATAAACGGAAAACAATGCAAGTAGAAGAAACAATTGCCCCATTGTTCGATTTCTATTGCCGACCGTTTTGGAGTGTAATTTCTAGCAACCAACATTTCGTTGAGTACAAGTAAAATAAATTTATTTTCTGGAGGTAAAGTTGCATCAATTGACTGAATTCCAGTCAAAAGCAAAAGCGTTTTAAATTTTTGAGGTGCACTACACTAAATTGTTTTAAAAAGTTTTTCGTTTTTCGTGAGAGAAAAATGTATTTGAACTTTACTAAACTTGTACAGGTTCCCAATTGACATTATCTTCTGGTACATCCTCAATATTTTAGGCCTGGTCTCAAATGGGGCGTGGCCGTTGGCGTCATCGTGACTTTTATTGTCTTTCTTACTGTGAGTTACACCATTCAGTTTTTCCGCGTATGCGACCGATGCTACCATGAATGTCCCATTGTTGGCTTCAATCCAGGCAAGTATTGTTCTTTAGCCCTTGTTAAATTCTCTTTGCCGATTCACCTGAGCCTCAAATCCCCTGCGCTATGCTTTAAGCTGTTCTGAAGGTTAAACGTTCTAGGAAGATATCGAACACCACTAAACAGCCATCGTATTTGGATGTAACTTTTGTCTGAAGAAACCTTACTAGGAAAATAACACGACGAATTCGTTCAAATCAGAATAGGTATAAATAATAGACAAACATCCTTGGAAAAACCAGAGTGTGCAAGAGAGAAACCGCCCAAATTGGTGGCTAAACATTGCGTTTGGGATCGAATTAACAGCAAAAATTGTTATTTCCAATTCACACAATTATGATCTATCATTTATCATGAGTTTGTATCCGTTTCGTTTACAGAAAACCAAGAATTTCAACTGGATACAAGTATGTCCTCCTCATTTCAATTCCGCTTCATTTGAGTTGCGTTCATGATTTGATGAAAAGAGAGTGAAATAAAGTAGTCATCGCTTACAGTCTTCGAAAAGTTCAAATATACTCCCGTACATCCCTAAGAAATTCTCGCCAAGTTCAATCAAAATGGTTGAAACATAAACAAGTTACTTTTTGATACTTCGCACTAGGAATGTGTATGTATGAATGATTAGCTTTCACTCAAGGACAGTGAGTGCTTTCAGGAGAGAGGCATGAAGCTACACAAGGACTATTTTATACATCAGTTTTCCAGATGACTGGATTGAGCAAAAGAGTCTGAGAGTAGTTATTTGACTGTGAAATCAACCTTGGCGAATCAGTCAAGAGCAAAAATGTCCTTGCATATACATGAGAACAGTTACGACTAACTTTGTGCCTATTTAACACATCAGAACCAAATAACGTTAGTAGTGTATCGAAGAATCAATACGCCATGTTTTGTTTTATTTTGAGTGTTATAGTGTCAATAATACGGCGATATCGGTAGAAAATTATGTTCGACTACGACAACCCGAAAATACTCCAACTCGGATTTCGATATGCACTGAAAACCCGTAAGCTAAAGCCTTGGCCATTAACATCCACTCTGCACGTGTCAACAGAAACGACGGAATCGATATCCCGAGCATTTAGACTACCCTAACATCCCCAATGCGTAATCACGATAAAGGTCACGGTGCCCCTTGACCCCATCTGATAATGGGAGTCTTTATGACAGACAACAAATCAATCGGTCCATCAAGAGCACACAGACACACGCACATTCACAAGGTGAAATCTCCGTTGACTCGTGCTTCTTTCCTCTGAGTCATTTGGTTGTAAAACATGCCATCCAAATCCACATCCACAGTAACCGAAATGTTAGCCAAAATAATTCTCTACCAGAATCGCATTGTTAATAACATTATAACATTCACAATAACTTTTTACTTTATTTAAATGCAGTTAAATCTATTTTCACTTAACCCTCGGAATTTATTTCGTCAGCCAAGTAACTGGAAAGATTTGATTCATTGGACCGAATTCAGTTTGACAAGTGACCACAAGCTTCGGTTGTGTAAAGTTTTAAACTCTATGCATATATTAAAACGGGTTTATAGGATGCGTTCATAATGGCATCCATCAAAAAGACCGCCATGTTTCAATGCACATGCATATGTATTTTAGAAGAAAGAAAAAATGGAGTGTAACATCATCTAACTATTAGTTGCCCAGACTACCAGTTCCTTATGTAAAATGTTGTATTCTCCGAAGAAAGGTGAATTATGGTCATACGTTTCCACCTCAACTTATTACATAGTGTAAGATGGAGCACTAATAATTCCATGTTACTGCACGAAGTATACTTCGTGGAAGCCCATGAAGCTTGATTTAAACGGTTTCCAATATTGCAGTCGGTATCGTTGATTACGTCAACCAATTTATCTCCGACATGAATCTGTTAAACATGCAGATGTGAACGGTGATAACGAGCCTGTTATGTTTAAATACATTTGCGCGCACTTCTCTTACAGGATGGTACACTGTGTCACACGAGGGAAATCGATACGGTGTTACATTTCACAGCCGCGTTTTTGCCAAAGAATTCATGGAATGTCTAGAAGCAAAGTACGGTCGGTGGAATACGGCAAATATCTTAAAAATTCAACGAGACGGTCAAGATTTTGTGATTTTAAACATATTCTTCCACGATGTTTTCACGCCGTGGTTTTACACTCAGGGACCGATAAAGAATGACGAGGAATGGATCCGATCTGATTTTCGAACAATGTGCCAGGCGATTCAGGGTGAGCCCCGGCTTAACAGCTTCACACTTGTTGCCAAATTCTTGACTGGTATCGATTGCAGTTTAATCGTTCCTACGTCATACAGTCGATTGATCCCTTATTGACTAAATTTTTTTTGTCGACAGAAATATTGATTGAGAACTGGGAAAATTCAAATACGGTAGATATTTATTGACGCTTTATTTCCTCGCGGAGATAAATTTCCCATATAATAAAGTAGTTCCACAACCACGTATCCGAGGAAAATGAATAAAGTGTTAAACTTAGTAAAGCCTGAGATAATCTTTAAATATCACCACAAGAAAATAGGAATCAGTGCAAAATATTGTTATCTTGTAGGTATTTATGAAACTGGTTTTATTGGTTCATTATATGAATCAAAGCAAATGCGTTGTACCCTTTTTCAAAGTCTCCAGTCGCGCGAAGATTAGATTCAGATTTTTTGGACTCGAGACGTGCGCAAATCAAACAAGAAAAAAATTGAAGTTTAATGCTTGTTATAGAATAAATTAACCTCGAACATCTGTTTGTTTTTTAATTCTCTTTAATTAGACAGCCAGGTTCTTTTTCTCTCATCAAGGTGAAATGTTGGTGCGTTTCAGTGCAGACCATTTAAACTCTAACCTTGAAAACAAACCACTGTGTCATCAATACATCCGCCTAGAACAAATGCCATTGCCATCTCCAATTTAACAGCTGCACCATTTTGTTTTTCCTCAGCTTATAAATGTAAGCCTGGCACCAATATAATATTTCGATATGGGTTAGAGTGTTTGTGAAAGCGACGAGGTAAATCCTATCTTATTTACGCGTTTTCTGTAAACATACATGGTAAATATCTGATCATGGTGGATTATACCAGGCTAAGATTACAACAAATACCATGATCGTACCCTTACCGACATCTATCCGTTTTGAGAACCATTTTAAACGATTTTTATATCTTACTGTCGTTTTTTCAGTTGGCTATAGTTCAGTAATGTTCAGTATAGAAATACCATTCGGCTTATTTACGTAATAGTTTGGCAATCAAAACCATCAAGCCTGTGGTTGACACTACCGATTAGACCCAACCAGGTCGAAACGGTTGCCCAGTGCTTTGCAGAATTTTAGCTTCCGCCTCAGTTACACAACGAATTCATCAGATTTAATCAGAACACATCAGTTTTAAAGCTGTCCGATCCACAATGAGGACCTGGAACAAAGGTCGCTGTCAAAACTACTTGCGGCTGATGGCTCATAACATCATAACTTCAAGAAAATCCATCACAACCATGAGTATATGTCATTTATCATTTCAACTGTTGTGACATGAGCATTGTCATTGTCTCCTTTACGAACAATCGAAAACGTAACAATTTCATCAAGCGGATTTCAGCTGGTGCTTGCAAAACAAGCCATATGGTTTTACGTGAATGAAAAAATAACGTATTTTGCATTTGTCTGTTCTTCGGTACCAATTACCAATTGGAAGAACAAATATTTGTGCAAAAGTTATTACAGATCACAATCTGCGTTGGTTAACCCACATCCACGACAGCATTGATAAACGGCGGCAACTATTATTCTAAATTTGAAATCCCAGGCAGTTTTGCGCACCCCAGTCAATTACTTCTACCTTTATTTATCAGTGTATATTCCCTACCTTACTTTAGTATTCCAAAATTATGCTCTCTGGCTTTCAAAGTTTCACCGAGCGGTCATGATTTGATTAGTCACTTTCCTTTGATTTTTATGAATGAGTTAGCTATGAAACTTTTGGAATGTTAAACGAATTTCTGTGTAAAATGTGCATAAAGGATTTTCACGGATCTTGGTCACCCATTGCACGCAGAACTGACACGTTGTTGTTCCCATCCCTTCACACGTCATCAGTTCTGCCAAATTTCATTCCGTATAAACGCTTACCGAAATTCACCCCGTCTTGAACGTATACTCATAAACTAAGAGAGGGTAACAAGTAAACTTTGTTTTAACCTTCGACCGTCCCCATGTCTGTAAAAATTCTCCCCCCCCTCCGTAAATGTGCTCTTTGTGACAGTTGGAGTGTGTAGCTTTTTAACTGAAGTGTGAGCTTTAGTGCTTGTAAAAGTTATACACAATGCAACACCATATTTATCCTATATTTATCAAAGCGTATTGGTGCTTTAGCCCACATTTATTAACAATTCTTTTCCAAATAATTATTCTATTTTAGGCAAACTCACTGTCCGAGTTTGCAGTTGTTTCAAACGAAATCAGCCAGCCAGCTCAGGAAATGGGGATTGTGTTCAAGGCACTGAAAAAGATTCGACTCAGTTGAACCCCACAAAAGAATGCGAAAATCTTCCACTGACAACATTCCAAGAACGCAGCTGTGCGAAAGGAGCACATAAATGGGTTCCCTGGACAAAGGCCACCTACACCCCACCTGTTACAAATGTCGATGATGCATCGATCTCCAGACCACAAAAACGATGCTCCACACGCACAAAGAATAATCGTAAATCAGAAAAATATGATTCACAAGCTCCGATAAATGTGCTAATATTCGAGGACTTGATAGAGTGTAACGGACTCGAGAAGGGCGTTCAAACAAGACAGAAACACGTTCGAACTAAACGAGACAAACTGTTCATTCCCGAAGGCTGAATGATTGCAGTTGAAACAATCTGTGTCGCACCTGAGTTCTCACATCATCAAACTATCAAAACATTGTAGACAAACAATATAATGCATACTGTATACAAAATATTTTTTAAGGTTTACACATCTTTCATGTATATTGTTTAGACGAACAAGAAATTACAAGCCACATGTTTGTTTTTTTACGATTTTACTTTCCAGTTTTGCAAGATGGCAAATGATTTATGTACATTTTAATTATGGATTCTGCGAATCAAAGAGTAAACACTTGGCATTCGGATGAAACCTCTTCTTCAGACGATTTCTGAGCTTAATAAATGACAAACCTGGAAAAGAACTGGCGGGAAATCAGAGTCAGCGACTGTGCATTTCACGCAAATCCAGTTTCTATACTCGACAGATCTAAGGTGCTATAAGGCATTATTGTTTAGTTTAACATACACATCTAAATTCACCAATGAATTTCAAACCTTTAACAAACACATATTCACTGGAATCTTACTGTCTAGCAAATTTTCGCGTAATCGATGGACTAGCAGTCAGTTGATGGCCAGACAGACAGATTATTTCTGTTAATTTTTAATTGAGAATTAAACAAACCGTACTGTATTACAAAGTGGAGCAAACCATAGAAGTTAAAAAACTAAGAAACGCGAATTCAATTATGAAACAAAGCGGGTACTGTAATTTATTACGCACTAACAAATGTTTGTTCGGTCACTAGACACGGGAAAAGTAGAAAGACAATATAATCAGGGAAATCGGAACTATTCCATTCCGGTCACAATGGAGATGATGGTTTGTTTTTCACCTGGAACATTTTCAAATAGCTTGGTGTCTAACACCAACCACTAACTGTTTTCAAACGGGCATGCTGGAATCCATTACCAGATGTGTCGTGACTCCAACATGTGTCGTCGTATTACAGTCGTATATAAATATAAACGTGCCAGAAAAGTTCAGCAGATCCTAAAACTGTCAACAGCGATAAACGACTAAATAATTCCTCTCAACATTGGCTGACTGAATAAATGAGGAAGCGAATAAATTATTTTTCTGTTTCGTAGACATCTCTGTGAGATAAACATTTGCATGCTGATTTCGGCATTTCGGCTCATCCGTAATTAGCTAAACATAAAATCGCACGAAGCATTATTAAGGGAACAGAAATCGATAAAGACAGTTTTTTCGAAGACTACAACTGTATTTTGATGGATCCAATTTTGATCAAAGTGAAGATGTTTCACCGTCTTGATGTGCAATAGCTGGGCTATTTTTCGTTAGATATGTTCAGTTCAACTTCCTATTTAAAATGCAAAACAGAGAGAGATAAAAAGGGTTTGTGTTTGGTTCTGTTTTAAATTCTTTGCCATCGTTAACTTTGATAGATTTTGTTACGCGGCCTGTCCGTCCTGAATTGCCCTCTCCCCGAAACTGAAATCTGCTAATGAACCATGCCCGTGGGAGTTGAGTAGTTTATTTCTGTCCGGCGTAACTATTTCATGTGACAGAATCAGACAATTTAGGGCCGTTTGGACAGGGAACAAGTGACAAGATGTTAATCCAAGCGGAAATGCAACAACAAAATCAACAAACCGACTCACCGTGGTTTTTCAATTACGGAATTCATTGGAGCAAGAAGTAAATTCAATCATGACCGAATTTAACATCTTGTGTTATTACCATCAGCGGGAACGTACATTAGGAGTTAAACAATACTGTGCTATTTTCTGAGATGGAAGCACAGCAATAAAGGCTAACGATATCAAAAGAAAAGACAGTGTTGCAATACTGCACGACCTATGTCCAGGACGATTTCGCCGCATCTCAACATACTGCATGCTGCAGAAAATACAATGTTTACAATTAGCTTTAGCATTGCAAAAATGTAAAGCAAAATACATTGAAATAAACGAAAATATAATGGTGTAGAAACAGACTAATATAAGGGTATTTTTGTTGACACGATAAGTTTTGGTTAATCTGGAGCTGTATTGACTAAGTTCGTGGTTACAATGGGAGCGTGCCAAGTTTGTTTCTGTTTAACTAACGATCAACCGAGAAGGAACGTTTCGTTACTTTCATTTCACTGAACACGGTGAACTCTATGAAGTACAAAATAAGCACGTTCATCCGGTTAGACAAATTTGTGCGACTAACTGTTGGAATTAGACCAGAGAGAGGATGCGAAATCTATTATTGAGCCTAAGATACTTCTAGGAAGTCCAGCGAATGAGAAGCATTGAGAAAACTATTTTTAAACGTTTCTTTATCCCCAGCAAAAGTCTCGTTGCTTGAAATACAGGGATCTGAATTGAACAGAAATGTTAATCACCGATTTCGTATCCGAATACAATCCGAAATAGACTTTGAACCAGTAAATTTTCCATCCGAAAAACATTGTTTCAGCACTCATACAGATGCTGTAAACAAGGAAGTGCTTGTTTTTCAAAAATACAATTAATTTGGTTTTCTTTAAAATACTTGCTTTGCACTCTGTTCTCCTTTCCAATTGCCACTGTCATAATATGATAATGTTATAGCAATAATACTTGCTGGCGGTTTACAGAATAAGCGAATAAGGCAAATCTTTGACACCCCAGGTATAAACATGATTGTCCCCCATCTATTAGCGCTTATTCCGCCATGCGTTTTATCCGTTGAACCCATTCACAGTGCTTCCATCTGTTCCCGTCTTGCAAGCACGATTTGTAATCCAAAATAATTTTAAATTATTATCGGTTTATGGGATCTTTTCTGCGTTTGCAATTAGCATATAAATTGACCACGTTTATCCGCGCTCCGATCTCACAACAGAGTTGTCTCTTTGAAATAAAATTCACTGTTAGAACAGATAAGAAATCACTATATTTCCAATCTGTATACGTTTATTTGTTACAAACTTGAAATATTTTCAAAATTTCCGACACACTGACACGTGGGTGATGCTCATAACCGAACTGCTATCAGACTGGCTTTCAAGACGTACAAATTAGTGATAAAAGTATTGGTTTCCTTTATTTAGCAAACTCGTTTGTGAAAATTCTCATTGGTAGTTCGGGTGGTTAGTAACTTTGGAAAGTCCGATACACTCAACTTCGAAACGGGAGTTATCAGTTTAAACAAAATGATCTAATTTGTAGACAAAACGTTTTGCACGTTTTACGATTTCTGCTCGGTTAACTTTCCGCGTGGCTTTGATGCAGTCACACTCGATTAGCTGTGCCAGATCCACAGCAAAGATTTTTCTGCCCGGGATGTGACAGCCTCATTTCTGGATGGAGCTAGATTTCGAAAGTCTCCATACACCGCATGTGCAGTTTATCAGTTTCATTCATCTTGTTATTTTGATTGGAGCACACGATAAGCAAGAAATTACCTGCAAAAGAAGCATGTGCCCCAAATTATTGCTTTGGTCTGTTGTCTTGCGGGAATCACGGAACATTTTCGCAACCGTGAAATAATAAGGAGCAAATCTTTTTCATAACAATGCTTTAATGGATCTTTTTACATAAAAATAAGTTATTTTCGATTATTTGTTACACAAAACATGCATCTCACGTGACCAGGATCAATAAATAAAATGTTTATACATAAATTCATCCTCAAAGGAAAATAATATGAGTAATTGTTTGATCTAATACATACATAAATTGAAGTAACTATATTTCGAACACTTATGCGGGAAACAATCTCATGTATATCACTTTTAACTCAAATGAAAAACCGTCTGACCATCTGGTCGCTGACTCAATGGGCAGTACGTTTCTGTACTGCGTGGAAACAAAAACTCATAGTTATGGAAGCAACTAATCGATTGATCAGTTATTACTCTTTCTAGTCTTGAAATGTCTGTTATTATTTGTGGTTAGAAACACTTATCCGAAATAGACAACAAAAAACACTGTTTGACCTGGAAATGATGGTTGTTTAAAAACGTAATTGCAGTTATTTCCATAAGTAATGAGGCAAAGCTTATAGAAAGTATATCTGGGATTAAGCTCAAGAGTGGGATAGTCTGAGTCTTGAGGAGTAATAGAAAGACAGATAATAAAAATTAGAATTTAAAACACATTTTTGATTCTAATTTGATGTATATTGTTATTTTAAAAAGCCCATTATTGCATGTAATCCTTTACGTGAGATAGATTGTGTTTTGAAACTCGGATAGCATGTAATTACCAGTGGTTCCAAATTTTCTTTGTCTAGACATAGTGAAATCAATATCTTCAGATAAACTCTCCACACTTTTTTGAACCCCGGGATTCACATTCAAATACTTGTGCAAATTTGTAAACGGTTGAGAAGGCATCGCCTTAAATATCTGAAAAGTGCTCTAATTTCTTCAATCATAACGAAGAATGATGAATTCTAGCATGGTTCATTACAATGGAAGTGGTCCGGTATATTTCATACTAGCTTGTAATCAACAAAACATTTTGCAGTTCGTCAATGTATCTTTTTGCCTTATTGCTGTTTCTGATGCGTTATGCTTACATGATGTTCTGCGAAATTGCATTTAATGTAAGATAGAACAAAGCCATGAAATACTTGATTGTTTATGATCCATTTAACATGGACAGACTCATCTTTAGGCGTCAGAAACACTTGTGCAACAACCGATAAACAGTATTGGTCTTACTTTATTTTCTCATGCCGGGGTAATCGGAACGCCCCATTGAAAAACTGTTCTACAATCATAAACACTTATTAAGTGGTCCATGTCGCTGTAATTAGATGAAATGTGCGTTTGGAACTATACATGAAGTGGCTGTTTTTAACCCGAAAGTCGATCACACATGTGATGGGCAGTCTGTTAGGGATGAAGCACACTGTTTGTCAATAACATTTATATCAGAGTAGAAAAACGAAGCTTGATATCTTTGAAGCCCTTCTCGTTTGATTGAGACAGACTGATTTATCCCTAACTGACAGTAAATCAGATAGAAGGCATAGCAGCTGGCGACATACTTCGATTTATCCAAAAATTGAACAGGAAGGGAATT